TCGCCGAATCAATGCCTGTGAACTGCCTTTCAGTTTTGTACTTGTTCCTCTACCGGTAGTAGAACCACGAGGCGCCGAACATCTCTGTGCAGGACAGTTGTTTGCGCAGGTTCTTTCAGGATTCCAGTTAAAGGCTTACTTGGTTTGAGTCTGGTCACAGGAACACAGGAGCTTTGGAYGACTTTGACATTCACATCTCGCACAATGCCMTTAGCATCTGGGTTAACACTCACAATCCGTCCCAATTTGAATTGGCCCCGCACCGCATTTTGGTCACATAGCCAAACAATATCGCCAACTGCGACATTTCGATGTGACGTGTGCCATTTGCTTCTCACAAATAAGTTTGGGCCGGAAAGCTGGCTCCATGATCTCCAGAATCTGTTGAYATGATGCTGCATCTCTCTGAGTCTTTTATAAGRGTAGCTTGYAAAGTCAAATGTTCTGATGTCACCACTTGGAGAGGCCCGTCCCAAGAGGAGTGTGTTGGGTGATACATACAGGATGCCATCTTCACGACTCTGCACCTGGGCATCAATAGGACGCTCGTTGGCRAGATTAGCAGCAAGTTGGAAAGTTGTCTGTAGCTCATTGTAATTGAGGCCAGTATTGACACCCAAACTCTGGAGTGCCTTCTTAATGATGCGGACTGCAGCTTCAGCAGCTCCATTGCGATGAGGTGAGTCAGCTGGATTAATTATCCACTCCCATTGGGTGCCTTTTTGAGCTGACATCTCCACAATTGCACCTTTGTCTTGAGAATCCAGGAACTGGTACAGCTCTCTTAATGCAGACTTGGCACCGATGAAATTTGTTCCTGGATCGGACCATATCTTCCTTGGATGTCCTCTAATTGCTGTGAATCGTTGGTAAGTCATCAAAAAACTCTCTGTTGACATTGTATCTGCCAGGTCTACATGAACAGCCCTGCTGGCCATGCAGCTGAAAACAACACCCCACACTTTCATGGAGACCCTTTTCTTGACAATATCTTTGACGAGGTATGGTCCAAAGAGATCAACTGTTGTGAACTCAAATGGGGCTGCAGGTTTGGCTCTCTCAGGAGGTAAATCCCCCATTATTTGCTGGCACCTTCTCGCTTTGTACTTTTTGCAGATAAGACAGTTTTCCACTACTCTTTTGGCAACTCTCCTCCCTTGAATGACCCAGGCTTTCCTTCTCATTTTTAGCAGGGTTGCAGCCACACCTTCATGACCCTCATTGTGTGCCTCTCGAGCCAACAAATTAGAGACCCATGCATTGGATGGTAGAAGGGGGACTGCCATGCAGTCTTCTCTGAAACCATGGATTCTCCCACCACAGACTAGTAGTCCAGTCTCTACCTCCCTGTACACCACCAAGCGGTCTGTAGTGGTGGCTGGAAGGATCATTCCCTCTTGGGCGGCAAGACAGATGTCTCTAAAAGCATCTTGACGTTCAAAAGCAGTGATGACCCCACTTGTTGGTACTGCCTCCCACTTTGGTGTCTTTATGGACTTGTTTCCAGATATAAATTTCCTGGCAGCTCTCCATATGAAAGAAACAGTCTTGACCAGACACACTAGGCTACTGAAGCGCCTTTCATCCACCAAGTTTTTTACAGCTGCCCCAGCAGGAGGTCTCCGCTCAGAACTTTGCTCAGAAGTTTGATCTTTCTTGGCTTGGGCTCTGGTCAGTGCTGCTA